TGCTCCCTGATGTGAAAGAAAGCCTGGCCAGCTGAGTTCAATCCCTTAGATCCAGATGTAGAGGTGAAGGGAAAGAACAGACCCCACAAAGATGGCCGTCGCTCTCCACACAAATGCCGTGGCATATGTGCCCCTCCCGGTAACAATATCAACAAGTTTGGCTTTTTGTTTTTCTAAAGATAACAATGTGGAGAAAACAATCATAATAAAATGTTAACGATTTTCACGGTCTTTAAGCCACCCTCACCAGGACCTAAAGTGGCTTCCCACCGTACAAGATCACCAGGTTTCTCTGTAAACCAGTATTTAGCCATACCCTTTTCACACGACTCCCTCCCAAACACATCTGCCTTACCCCACAGTGGGTACATGGCAACATCTCTAGTTTCAACATGTTCCTAGTTCCCACAAGTCAGAGATAACAAGAACACATGCCCCTGTGTCTATGTCTCTTTCCACCCTGTTAACACTTTAGCATTCTGGCTAACGCGATGGCTTCAGTCTGCAAAGTGAGCAAAGAGGCAGCAAGAATGAGAACCTGTGTGTAAGAATGAGCGCGGCTGCGAAGCAGAGGTTGCAGGGAGGAAGAGCGGAGAGCTGGGGAGAGCGGCTGCTGGCTCCAGGCCTTAGGCAGCTGATGCCAATCTCGTGCTACAACCTGAGAACCCCAGTAGACACATGAGCTGTGCCATTCCTTCTAATACCAGTGAGCCAGCCTAGTCAACTACTCTGCTCTAAAACAGATCTCCCTGAAGGCAGCACACTGAAAAGCATTTCATCCTTCTCCCTATTGAACAAACTAGACAAAAACACTGTTACATTAAAAACCACCAGCCCTTGATCCGCCTGAAATCTCAACTATTTGGGAATAAGGCTGAGTAAACATGCTCCGTGGTTTCCTACAGTTCAGCAAACAGCCGCTGAACTGCCAAAATGCCAGATTGGGGGGAAAAATAGAAAACTCACTTTTCCAACTTATTTTAGTTTTCCCATAGGGTTTGCAACTTGGCTTTGCAGTTAGATCCTCTGATATTCCAAATCAACATTGGCTCCAATTTAAAGATCTGGTTTGCACCAACTTACCTGACTTCCTGGCATCAGTTGGGCTCACCTGCCTATAAGAGCAGAGCTCCGTCTTTCTCAACGCTATGCTCTCCTGCCTACATCCGGGGCCTCTCTTAAGTATAACACATGGTTCCCTGGAGTGTCCTATTCTCACGGGACCTCCCTCTACAGCCTGCTTGTTTACCATGGAGACGGCATATGGTAATGTATGTTTACTATCAGGCCCAGGAGTGCCAGCAACAATGGTGCAGGGAAGAAAACACAAGCAACTATTTATGAGTGTCATAACAACTTGTGTGTTATGAGCATCACAAACTGGGAAGGCATGGGAACATGAAAAACTGCTTCCCGGAGCCCCACGCCAGCAGAGGTAAGCAGAAGAGGAAATGAAGGGTAAGCAGAAGAGGAAATGAAGTTAGAAAGGGTGGTGGTAAGTCAGGGAGAAGTTGGAGGGGGAAGTAGAGGGTAGATATGATCAAATACATTTTATATATAATATATACACACACATGTATATACACACACATATATAGATATATATCTATATGTGTATATATAGAGAGAGGTATGTATGTATATATAGGTATATATATAGAGATGTAGGTATATATGTATATAGAGATATGTGTGTATATATGTATATATATGTATACACACATATATTTATATAGAGAGAGTATTTGATATACACACACATATGCAATGCTCAAAGAACACATTTAAGAAATATGTTTTAAAAAGTAATTCCTTCCTGGGTGGTAAGAATGTACATTAGAGAAAGACAGTAACCAGGCTCTCTGTTGCTGGGATAAACACTGATCAAAAACAACCTGGGAAGCCAAGTGTCTATTCTCCATCACACTTTCCGGTAACAGTTCATCCCTGAGGGAGGTCAGGTCAGGCCACTTCAGGCAGGAACTGAAGCAGAGACCAACCGACTGGCTTGCTCAGCTATCTTCCTTCTACAGCCCATGCCCACCTGCCCAGGGAGGTCGCTGTCCACAGGAAATGGTGGCCTTCCTTCATCACTTGGCAATTATGAAAATGCCTAACCTAATGGAAGTGATGCCTTGGCGGAGAGTCCCTCTCTGCAGGTGCGTCTGGGTTTGGCCAAGTTGGCCAAAGCCAACTAGCACACGGGAACACAGAGATGTGCTGTCGAGTACACATACAGGGCAATCATACATATCGTCTAACAGTGAATACTAAAGTGAAGGTCCTCCTCTGGCTTCTACAGTTGAAACAAGCCGTCCGGGGCAACTGCCGTTGCTGATTCTATATTCCACTTGCGGTCATTTGATCTTCCAGTCTTCTAACTTTGAAAATGAAAACGCGGAAGTCAAGAAACAAGTGCTGGTGATAGAAAGTGATAGACAGTTTACCTGCCCTATGCACTACCCACACAGATGTCGCTGAGGCAGCTCAAGCATCAGCACCTTGACATGCTGCTGAGTGACGTGGGATTCCCCTCTGTATGCTATGAATATGCTTTATTACCACTGGTTATGAGAGAAGCTGTTTCAGCCATTGGCTTAGTAAAGTAAAGCCAGGCAGGAAATCCAAACAGAGATAGAGAAAGTAGCTGGAGTCAGAGAGATGTCATGTAGCTGCCAAAGGAGAAAGGCACCAGCTACCAGCCAGAACCTTACTGGTAGGCCACAAACTCATGGTGATTCACAGATTAACAGAAATAGGTTAATTTAAAACATAAGAGTTAGTTAGAAATATGCCTAAGCTACTGGCCAAACAGAACTGCAATTAGTATCGTTGCTGTGTTACTGCTCACGTTCAGGCTGCCAGGAAACAAACAAGAGGCCTCCACCTACAGCTGAGAAAACTTCCGTTTTCATGCAGAGAACGGTGTGAAGTCTGTATGTTTGCCAGGTGCACCAACACCTTGTTGCGTGCAACTCTTGCTACGTTAGTTATGATGTTTGATAAGGCCTCAACTAAAAGCAGTTCAGCGGGGTGCAAGATGGGCAGCTCTCTGAGTCTGTATCAACGGTGTCGGCGTTTGCATCACACCACTCTGTCCTGGGAGACTCGGAACTAGTGGAGTGCAGGCGGTGTGCACTCAGGGCTCCCCTTGGCTGACACTCACGCTGGCTGTATCAGGGCTTTCCACAGCAGGCCATCTGCAAGGACACCACAGGAGCCCCGCTCTGAAACGAAATGGCACTGTGGGTCCAGCGTCTATGGACAACCCTTGTCAGTCCTCAGCACTGCCTGGTTTCTATACTACAGCTCTATCTAGAGGGCAATCCATAAAGAGCAAGAGGTGGGAAATGCACAGAATCCATGACACAGTCACGTTCTGCCAACTACTGGAGTGGTAAAGGTATATCACACTTTGCAAATAAACCCTCCAAAAGATGCACACGCACACACAGTCGGTCTCTCTCTCTCACACACACTCAGGCGAGCGCGCACACACACACACACACACACAGTCAGTCTCTCTCTCTCTCTCTCCCTCACACACACACACACATACACATACTGACATGCATACAAACACACACAGAGTTTCTCTCATACATACAAACAGACACACACTCAGGCATATACACACAGACACACATATTGACATACACACATACATAGTCACACAGACATACATACTGATAGACACACACTCAGGCACACGCATACAGACATACAAACTGGCATATACACACAGAGACACACGTACTGCCATGCACATACACATACACACACATACAGAGTCTCTCTCATACACTCACACAGAGATACTGATTCACACAGACACACACTCAAGCATATACACACAGACACACATACTGGCATATACACACACAGACACACATACCGCCATGCACATGCACATACACATACACAAACATACAGAGTCTCTCTCATACACACACACAGAGACACAGATTCACACAGACACACTCAGGCATATACACACAGACACACACAGAGTCACGTAGATACACACTCAGGCACACACACACAGACATACATACTGACATACACACAGAGTCACGTAGACACACACTCAGACACACAGACTGGCACATACACACACAGACACACATACCGCCATGTACATACACACACACACACACACACACACACACACACAGAGTCTCTCTCACACACATAAACAGACACACAAATTCACAGACACACACACACACTTGTATTGCAGAAGGAAATGGTAGACAAGTTATTTACAGCAACAAAAATCTGGGTGAATCTGGGTAAACCTGGGTGAAGACCGCTATGCTTTCTTTTCCTACTTCTCTGGCGTGAGTCAGAGAGTCAAGCACTGTAGGAACCTAATATAAAATCTGCTTGGAAAGACGTTCTGCAAGGCTTCCGACATGCTTAATTTTCTTTAAACAAGGCACTAATACAATCACAGTAGCATCTAATACGATTTTTAATTCCTTGAGGGTAGGAGCCATGGCTAATCTTCAGTGTCTGACTGAGTGGGAACATTAGTTTCCCTCTTGGTAAAAAACAACCAATAAAATATTCCTAGTCCTACCAGGCTGTATTACTGAAGGTTCCCGAAGGAAATGAGGAACGGACCGGGCCACTCCATGGTGAATAACAGCACTGGCCAGAGCATTGTCTGTGTTCAGTCAAGACCCGTTTTCCAAGGTTACAGAGAGCAGAACCTGACAGCAACAGAACCAGCCACCGAAGCAGGAAATTTTGGGAACATCTCCCTCTTTCACTACGGACTGAGTTCCTGTCAGCAGGCGCACATGCAGTGTGAAACAAACCTAAAGCTCATGATGCTGAACACTCATCATTGAGTGAGGAGCCATTAACCTGCTCCTCAGAGCCGCCAAAAACTGAACAGTCACAGCAGGGCCCTGTGCCGGTCTGGACCCATCAAGAACAGGATTTATTATTCAAAGAGAATCTCAGGACAGACAACATTAAGGCGAAGTACTTACAAACTCTGGAGTTCGGAAATCCTGCTGATCCTCCAGAGGGCCGAAGGTGGAACAGACGATTGTCTGGTCGAAGTTTTCCAGCACTGAAAATAAAGGAGAAAATAAAATAAGCAAAGCGCAGACTTGCCTGGATCCGCGCAGCAGCAGGAGTGATGGCACTCAGCATCTGAGGCCCACTTCCCGGCTGAGAGAGTCTCACTGTCCACAACGGAGAGCTACAGCCACTCTGTCCTCCATGTGGCTAGGTCTCCAAACGCCCTCGGCTGCGTCTACCATGGAAAATCACCAGCCTCTACACAGCAATTAAATGTTGAGTGCAGCTAAGAAACTCATTATCCCGCTAACCTCTCGGGGAACTGATGAGTCAAATCAGGACGGCCATCTTCTGTTTGAACATACACTGAGAAGCAGCATCTGACAGATACTGAGTGGGAGCCAAATAAAATTTTCCAGGAGGTACTTTTAACTCGTAACAAGCGAGTAAAGTTAATTACAATAATATCATTTAACCTATAAAATCCATGAACATTTGAATATATAATCCGTATTAAAAAATTATCAGTGAACCAGTTTATATTTTTTTCTGGGACTTTGCCTTGGGGGATCTGGGATGAATTACAAATACAAATGAGCCACAACTCAAAAGGTCAGCAGCCACAGGTGACTAGTGGCCACTGTATTAGGTGACCACAGTGGTAGGCGAGGTAAGGAGCCAAGCCCAGGAAGCAGGCCATTCGTCACGTCTATCCCTGGGTTGCCATCAAGACCCTGTCACAAATAAAGGTGCTGGCCCAGCATAGAGGACCTTGAGGAAGCAAACCAATCGTACACTCCATACCGTGTGGTTCTAGATCAATGAGCTCTAAAGAAGCCAGAAGGAAAGACTTAATGAAGGAAGTGTTGGGTGCCGGAGGTTGGTCAGCAGGAGGGCACATTAAAAAAATTAGGAAATTTCAAATAACAACAAAGTTTAGGATTATACTAGGAATGACTAAAATGCCATATATCTTTGACTTTGTAAAAATAAAAGATCCTTAATTTAAAGAGGTATAAAACAGTAGTTAAAAAACATTGGAAGGACATCAACTGTTTAAGGAGGTTTACATAGCTACTCTCAATGATCAACAGACCCACACCTCCTCAGCAAGCCATTGCCATGAAAGAAGACGAGGTTAAAGAAAGACAGGGGGCAGGGGCACACGGAACTATCAGCAGTACACATCCTTCAATGGTCCACACAGAGCAGCTAGGCCAGGCTTTAATTTTACTCAAGGCAGAATTTTATAAGTCACAACACGCCCGACATCTTGAATATACAAACAGGTTTCGTGAAATAGCTGCTTCCTAATGATGAGAAAAAAATATCCTCTTTTCAGTGGCCTAAAAAAATAACAGCTCAACTTGCAGAGGGAGATTCACGAGAGCCCAAAGATTGTTCACAGAGCAAAGTTATCAGCAAAAGTTGAGACAATTCATCTGTTTAAAAAAATTCCCAATATCAGAACTGCATTTTAGATTCACACCAAAGACCTTCGTTTCTACAGGTAACCCACACACATAGTAGCAGCCCCTATGGCCTAAACAGAAAGGGCAGCAGATGAGGCGGCACAAGCAGGGGCCACCTCTTCTGAAGAGCCCGACAGAGGACCCCCTGTTTAAGAACCAGGGGAAAATGGGAAACAGAGGTGAAGGGAGGCATCTTGCAAAGGTGACAATCAAAGTCGGTGCCTCTGAATATCCTGGGAGGCCTGCGATTTCCACACAGCCAGCAATGTCTGGAGCCGATTATTCCACCAGCCAAACAATAGTTGGCCAAAATAATTACATCCCTGCAGACCACCTTCATAACTGCCTCAAGCAGTGTTCTCAACCTGTGGGTCGCGACCCCTTTGGGGGTCAAACAGCCCTTTCACGGGGGTCACACCTCAGATGTCTTGCATCTCCGATATTTACATTACAGTTCATAACAACAGCCATTTCAGTTATGAAGTAGTAATGAAAGTACTGTTATAGCTGGGGGTCACCACAACCTAAGGAACTGTATTAAAGGGTTATAGCATTAGGAAGGTTGAGAACCACTGTCCTAACGCGTGGCTGTCTATACACCCGGCTATGACAAGCTCTCCATGGCTGGAGTACAGCTAGGAAGACCTAACCTTTCTACAACATTAACTGTAGAGATACTGAAGAAGATACAAGTGTGGTATTTATAATATATTGCTTCATAAAGTTGATGAAGCATCATACTTGCGTGTATTTTGACACAACCACCATAAATCTGATGGCGTGACTTCATCTGACATCTTATCTAAATTCCTGCAGGATGAGATGTGCAATTTATCTATTACATATCAGAGGTGAAAAGGTCAGTGGCACTCCCCTTGGTTCCTCTTTCCCTGCTTTGCAAAGGGGGACTTAAGAAGGGATTCATTTTGCCGAGTGAGAGAAGAAACAAGATCTAGGACCCCGGTGTCCCACTAGGTCATGGGTAAGGATGCAGAGGAACAGACTTGTGAAAGTATAGCACTGCTTGGTTCTAGTTACTCCCACAATGAGAACATACATAGTCACAGTTAATGTCAACACAGAAGAAAAACGGAATTTGAGTAAAGAAAAACAAAAATGGCTTTGCTAAAATACCATGTGAGCAAGACAAACCCACAGCTGCTTCTCCCAGGACCTAACGCAGCAGAGAGGTAGAGGATACATGAGGCTGGTACAGAATTAATCTTCCTCTAGTTAGGGGTCCAGGAAATCTTTGGAACTCTCATTTCTGATAATCTAAGGCAAATGGAAAAAAATTCGTTTCATGGCAAAAATAGTTTAAAAATCAAGATGCAAAACTGAGAATTTCTTATTAAAAATAATTGGGGGGGTTGATACTCAGAAAACAAACAAACATACTAACTTTTTAAAAAAGTTAATTACTTTTTTAAAAAAGTAATTTTACTTAATAGCTTTTGGGATGTTAAGAACACTGGCTGCTCTTGCAGAGAACTCAGACTCAATTCTCAGCTCCGATGTGCTGATTCACAACTCTCTGTAAGTCTAGTTCCAGGGGATCTAATGCCCATTTCTGACCTTCAAAAGTACCAGGAATGCATGTGGCACATATACATGCAGACAAAACACTCACATATATAAAATAAAATCATCTAAAAATGAAAAATAGTATCAACTGTATTACTATGAGTAAAATTTAAATCATTGAATATTTAGGCCAAAAGAAGTCTATAACATATCCACTTTTGATAAATCTAATAGTAAATCAGTCACCTAACAATTATTATAAATGAAAGTGAGCATATTTCAAAAACTTTATCAATGCAGTTTGGGCAATAAGGTTTGAAGGTAGACCTAATTCCAACTTATTCAGCACTATAAAACCAAGGGCCCAATAAAACTACGTAGAGGCTTAGCCATATCAATGGTTTAATAACAGGACACCGGCAGCCTCCGCCAAAGTGGCAGTCATGTGGTTACTTGTGTACCAATCAGAAAAAAAAAAAAATGACCTGAATTTACTACCCCGACTATGAAGTAGATACAGCCTGTACTAAAATACCGATTGAGATTGTGATACAAAGCAGCCAATAAAAAGTCATTATCTATAATCTTATAGCTTTGACAACCTATAACCTAACAGAAAACACACTCAGGAAATCCACGGACGAAAACTAAAGTGGCCGGTAAGCAGGGCTCTGGAACAGACGTGATGAGAATGAGAAGATGCTATGTCTACCATACATCTGGAGCTGGCTCTCCCTGACTTGTTTATGAAGGTGTCTGCTTACCACTGAAATGATCAGAACCACAGCGGATAGACGAGAGACCAGGTAATGCCAGGTCTGAGCTGGGGCTGGGGCTCTAGTGCAAAGCACTTGACTAGCATGTGCAAGGCCCCAAGTTCAACACCCAGGGCTGAGGGGAAAAAGAGTAAGAATGGTAAGACAGGGTGCTGGGGGAAAATAAATTAAGAAATAAGAATGGCAGGGCCAAGTGCAAAGGGCCTGGACTGTGGACCCTGGCAGAGCTCAAGTCCTAACGCCAACTGCTGAGTGCCAATTATTATCAGCATATTTATCCCAAGCTGGCCATAACCATGTCCCTGGTGATGTCACAGGGCTATGCAAAGATAGCAATGACAGCTCAAAAACATGCTGGAAAAACAATGAGGATCTGCAGAGATGACAGATCATCTCTCCTATTGACCTTCCAAGGTACCTGGGTTCAATTCCCTGCACTCACAACATCTGTGACTCCAGTTCAACGGGACCCATCACCCCCTTTAGGCCTCCCAGGGGAATCAAGAGCAAACATGGTACACGGAAACGCATGCAGGCCAAATACCCATACTTTAAAAATAATAATTTTTAATTGAATACTCTGTAAATATAAATTAACTTTGCATATAAAAACTCAATATGAAAAAAATAAAACTGCAAAATTCCTGGGCATACTAATCTGCGTCTGGCATTTCCAAAAGTCTGGTCAATTTATTCCTATTTCTGTCCTTATTCCCTCAGATGATCAATAATAATTTAGGGTTGTCATCACCTCAAGTCGACAACTAAAAGCTAAACAATTGGACTGTCAATCAGTCTGATTCCAAAACTGTAAATCTTTTAGATATATTGATTTTGTCTTCTGGGTTGCTAAGAATAATCCTCTTAAATATGAGTTGATAAGAGATTAAAGTAGCACTGAAAATAGAAATCAAAAGAATATTAACAGAAACAAAAGTGCCAACTTATGGCCAGATCGAAACAGACTAACATGCCAAGTGAGGTGGCACAGCACTCAGGAGGTAGAGGCAGGATCAGGTGTGTAAGCACAGCCTTGGCTACCATAGCAGGTTTACAACCAGCCTGGGCTGCTGGTGTGGGAGTCCCCTCTGTGTGCTGTGATTACGATTGATGAATAAGAAACTGCTTTGAACCTACAGCAAGGCAGAACTTAGGTAGGCAGAGAAAACGACGATGAATGCTGGGAAAAAGAAGGGCAAAGTCAGAGAGAAGTCATGGATCCGCCGCCCAAATCAGACATGTCAAAACTTTGCCAGCATGCCACTGCCATGTGGTGA